GGGGATTTAGCTCAGTGGTTTCGCCGCCTGCTGTGCAAGCTCAAGGACCCGAGTTCAATCCCCGGTACCAAAAAAAACCCCAGCTAGGGTTATAGCTCAGGGACAGCATGCTTGCACTGGGTTCCATCCACAGCACCACAAAACAAAACTAATATATCTTATAGTATTTTATATTTCCTGTCAGGCTTCATTTCCAGAAGGTCAAATCTTTTTTGGTACTGGGAATCCAACTCAGGACCTTGCGCTTGCCAGGAAGGTGCAGCACCACTGAGCTACATCCCTGGCCAAGAAGGTCAAATCCTGGAAGTCTCTGGTAAGCCCTGAGCTAAGAGCTTTACTTAATTCATTTCAGGCTCCCAGCAATCTAGTAATTATCTCCATTTTGTAGAACAAATGAAAGCCCAGGCAAGTTAAGTAACTTGTAAGTGATGTGAAGTTGAGAAAGTGGAAAAAGAGAAAATCATAAGGTTAATACACTGCTAGGGCTGAAGGGCTTGGAGTTTATGGTCCATGACCCTTAGCTTGTGACGTAAAATAACAAACAATGGAAAGGAGAGAGAGAGAAAAGAAATAGAGAAGTAAATGGAAGAGATGGAACCAAATTGAGAAGAATCAGTATCATAATGAAATAATCAAAATTTGAAGGAGCCAAAAAATTAATGAGTCCACGCTTATCATGTGTATTGCACCACCAAACATCATTTTTAAAGAGAAAGAGAAAACAAAAGAATACATAATATTGATTTATTTCCAATACACTTTTTGTTCAATTTTTTTTTTTTTTTTTGGTGTGGGGGATCGACCTTGGATCCTTGTGCTTGCGGGGCAGGCGGCGGAACCACTGAGCTAAATCCCCAGCCCTTTGTTCAATCTTTACAACAATCCTTTGAGGCGCTTATTGGTGTCTCAGCTAAACTATGAGGACATAGAGGATCCCAGAAGTTAAATAATTTCTTGAAAAAGGTCACCAGAGACTGAAGTGCATGGTTATTAGATTCCAACACTGTGTTAAGAAAAGGAAAAAAGAAAAAGAAGGAAAAGAGGAGAGAGAAACGTAATCTGAGACCTAGTCCTGATTTGCCTTTAACTAGCTGTGACTGTAAAGCAAATTATACTACCTGGTATTTCCTCTCCCACATCTGCTGAGAGAGACATTAG